GTAGGAGTTATTATCAAGTATGGGGTGTGCTGCTAGTCTTATATGTGTAGAGGTTCATGAAGATGAAGATGGAAGTGATAAACATCATACCAACCCTAGTACTACTGTCCCTGTGCTATGAGGAGTATAAAGTAGTTGATGACAGGCTATCCCAAGAAGATTCTCATACGAGCTTGCCCTTCTTCGAGGAGATGTTGTCGAACTTGTTACTCTTCCCCTGTTGGTTCGTACTACAGTGTCGGTACTAAGGGTGATCTGCTTCTCAACAGTAGCAGCAGCCGTCTGTCGTTGTTGTTGTTGCAGGAAGTACTATCTGTGGCGGCGATGTTCAAAAGCCTCATACCTGCACAAAGCCACCTCTCTATGGTGGATCGATGTACCATACTCAACAACAAGATCAACAGCAGCAGCAGCAACCAGGCCGATATGGCAGACGGTAGTAGGAGGGGTAGTCCCCCTTAGGATAATAGACCACTCTTACTACAGCATTTCCAGGTCAATTTAATCTTTTGAAAAATGCACATTTTCTTGATTTTTCCACACAGAATTTGAATAGAATGGCTGGTGATATCCTTTGATTGGATCCTCATATGATGAAGATGCTAGACGGTGCTATCATGAGAACAATATTCTTATTGTTACTACCAAACTCGACCATCGGAGAGTCTATTCACTATACAAGGAGTACAATCGCGGGTCTTTAGGGCTTTTAGTGGCACAACCACACAGCTGGACAATTCACTGCCCCTCTGAAGGAGATCTGCAGTGTGGTATCTCAGGAAACGATCTCAGGACTGAGACATTTTCGATTCTGCATGTGTTTCGTGGTTGCAGCTTTCGGCTACAGGTCCGTCTCGTGTCGTGAAAGTTAGCGTTACTGATGAAATGATGAGCTCTGTTATTAGAACTTCATGAAAATTAAATGAAAAGCACAGGGCGAAATCGTGAAAAATGGGCATTTCTTCAAGAATAGTAGGTTAAAAATCGAAAATTCGGGCAAACCATCAAGTTGACCTGGACTTGGTGTAGCAGTGGTAGTAGAAGAGTGCAGTGCATGTGCCTCGTTAGGTTGCATTATACAACAACCCCTCTGACGCCTATCCACGAACTGCGGGAGATGACCTCATCTGAGATGAGCGACTATTGCCCGACTGTAGTGTCGTCATCGGAAGCCACTGAGGAGCCGTATAGGCCAGTGATAGTGGATAGTGTGGATAGGAGATGGAAGAGCCGTCGGAGGTCTGATCCGGTAATTTGGCGTCGAGGAAAGACTTTCTATTGATTCCATAGAGTTCTTATCGCGGCCTTGAATGATGAGGCGTTCTTCTGGTGATACTGTCATGTGGGAGATTATACGACATGTGCGCTTGAATGATTATCGAGAATGTCAATCGCTGGCAAAAGTGAATCTGTAAAAGTTACCGCTCGGTTGGAGCTTGCCTCTTCTGTTCAGTCGCCTCGAAGGTCCTCGAGAAGGCCGAGGGTCGATAGTGGTAAGGATAGAGATGGTAGCAATAATTGTATGAGAATATCTGCTTTTTAACCTTAATCTTGAAGAGCTCTCGGATCTGTTCGATAGAGCTCCTCATGCTAGGAGGAATTCCCAGGGCGTCCAGGATAACAAATTTTTGTCGGCGTGAACAAGCCTCATTGTTTCTGGAAGACGCTAGTGTGCTGGATTGTATTTCTATTGGTCTCGATCCGTATCTGGTCTCTCGTCGGTGCTGTCTCGATTGGTCCTGTGATTTCTGGAGGCCACCGATCACCTGTAGATGTATCTGTAATTTCTTCAATTGTTCTACTCAATTTCAACCCTGAATGATGAAGGCGGGGGAATATCTCATTTTCATCCACCTCTCATTTTGAGTTTGTTCAATACTGGTCGGAAAGCAGGTCGATTTTGTCTTAGTTCTGCCATCATCATGTTGCTATGGGCCGTAGCGTACAGGGAGGCGGGTCGTCGATGCTGCGTCGGGCTCCTCACGCGTCAACTAGAAGGTTGATCGATGGACTTTGCTACGAAACGCCGGTGATGGTTTTGCCATGAGCAGCGTTTTCCTATAAGTAGATTCGAATGACTGAAGATTTGGGATGGAGAGATGTTGTGAGATGGTAATCGAGATGTGAGCATGAGGACCAGCGTGGTAAAATATACACATGACCAACCACAAGTGTTGGTGACAATATAAAAACTCTGAGGAAATTTTAGAGAATTTCTCTTAGTTTCTGTCCGCGATCGTATATATTCTCTCGATTCGATTCGTATATGAACTCCTATAATCATTGAGGAAACTATTGAGCTCAGCAGCTGAGGGAAGCGAGCACATATTTTGCAGCACTGATGAGGACTTCATTGCAGATGGTGGTCTCCTGTTATTGTGATTTCCTGTTGTGTTGTTCCAAGTTGAGCTGACGTGATGGGTATCTACAACTGTCGTGTTATGGGAAATCCAACCGATTGCGTTGGCATATGACGAATCATGACTTGCGTGCGCGAACCGACATGACTCTTTGATGCAAGATTGAAACCGACATCCTCAAAGGATTATAGAATGAAAGTATTCTCAAGAGGTGGTGTTGATGGCGAGTTTTTTTTTGTTTTTTTTGACGCATTTACCAGCCTGTGGGGGGAAAATCCGGTTACGGAGAACCTTAGGAGGTGTGGCCCTCAGAAGGATACTGTGGGACTCGCATGACCATACCCACTAAAAACCCCCAGAGGCTGGGCCCAAAAGGCAGAACGTCTGATGGAACCAGCCCCTACTAGCCACTTCTCACAGAGGATGGAGGCTGCGCGTCGCACTTCTCCATGTGTTTAGCAAGATTGCTAGCCCGAAAATATTTCTTGCCACAGCGCTCACAACGTGAACAAGTAAATATCTTTGGCGCTCTCGGCACAGTAGGGATAGGAGCTTTAAACAACTCCTTAGCCACCACAAGTGCTTCAGCGAGTGACTTACAAGGCCTGAACAGGTTGGCGTCAGCTTTGAGGCTAGGAACGCCTAGCCTGGCGTTGAAGTCACCGCAGACAATTTCCGGACGTTCTAGTCTCACCACTTCTTCGACAACATCCCAAAACTCATCCTTTTGACCCTGCGGCGCTACCTCTGTGGGAGCGTAGCACACAACAATGGTTATGCCACTGTTCAGCGTGATGTGAGCTATTCTATTTGAAACAGATACCCACGACTGAACCCTGACATTGGGATGGACTAGGAAACCCACTCCACCGATTCCGCGTAGTGCAGGAGAGCTGTGGAGGATGTGATCCCCTTGCGATTCTCCTTGCACTTCCTCTCGTAGTCGAGTTTCCTGTAGGGCGATTATTGGGACATCACTCCCGATCGCCTTCAAGGACTCAACGACTGCCAACCTGTTGGCGTATCCTAATAGAGAACGTACGTTCCAGGTGTACATGCGTATCACACTGGGGTCTACGTCCCTACGGAAGTACGACCTGGTGGATCCACCACTATGAGGACTGTAATTCGCAGTAACTGAGGGTGTCCTACGCCTCTGAGAGGCGGCCTCTCAGAACTATCGCGATGTGCCCGGGTACGCTGGCGCTTGAGTCGACGCCTGGCAGCTCTTGCCGCCCGCCGCCTCCTCAGGGCGTCTTGTGATCGCGTCCCACGGCGTCGTCCTGTCCGCTTGCTGTCGGTCACCGCATCAGCTGTCGAAGAGACAGCGAGCGGCTCATCCGGTTCGCCACGTGAAGGCCGCGAGTCGGGGGAGGACATTTTGCGAGCCAAAAAATGAACCTGGGACCCAGCTATAAGCTACCTCCCTTCGGGGTAAGGTTACATTAAAAGTGTTAGTAAGTTTATCTAGAGAGAGTGCTGTGAGTTGGGTTTGGGAGTTTACTTTTATCTTAAGGTCCCTAGTGAGGTCGCTATCTTGCTTTATTTGGACTTTAAGAGTTTATTTACCGTAAGTATGTCTCTGCCTATCCTCGACAGCATCTCCTCCATTGGGGACTCTGCTGATGATACAAGCGTGCCAGGCCTGGGCACCTACATCAGTCGTATCCTTGATGAGCGTAGTTACACCGGGGAATTCAGGGGACCGAACGTCCAGACCTGGAAGGTTGGAAGGGTCGTTCATGTCCTCGGGAGTCCGCCCAATACTGATGCGTTAGCTGATGTAACCGGTTACCGTAACTACGTCGTCGCCAGCGACAAGTGCGTCACCATCAGGCTTGGCCGCTCTGTCGAAGGGTTGCACAACGTCGTGCAGTCGTCCTCAGCTGTGGGGGTAGAGGTCAGCGCTGACGTCGGCCGGATTAGTGCCATCGTAACACGTTATAACTTGCGTGCGCCTATCGAGCCGGGGGTAGCTATCGAAAGACTACCCTCGACCGGGGAGTCCAAGTTATCTGCAGAAACAGTTACGAGACAGTTCGGTCTCGTCAGCGAGTCTAATACTGGGTATCTGTGGACTGGGGTCGGTCTAAATTACTTGACTTGTATAATGGGAAATGGCGAGGCCAACCTCGGGTTGGAATGGCGCGCCATTCTTCCAGAGCCTCTGGACCAGAGGTAGACCGCTGGTCCTATGAAAACCACCTGAGGCAGGTCTCTATTCACGCCGAAGATCTAACGAGTGGCAAGATCCTTATGCTACACCTTACTCGTTCTGAATATGAGATTTGCGGCGGCATCATGAAGATACTCTTTGCGAATAGACCGTTTGAGGTTGATTTCAACGGGCGAGAGATATTACTACAACGTGTCAACTGGAGTCCGCCCCGTGTCGCTTTGGTACTCAACGACCAGCCGATTGGTGCTGCTATACTCGCTATACCCGTGCTGGCCGGTTACGACCCGCAGGAGCTCGGCGAAGTCGGTCCGATATCAGTGTCGGGTCTGGAAACAGCCTTGCGCGTTATTGCTAGAAACTGCGGGGACCCAGAAGGCCTAGTCTCTGGGTTCACATATGCCGCCAGCTTCGTGCACTATGCGAGTCCGCTAGGCCGCACGTCTGACCATTTACCTGATGGCGAGTGAGAGAATAAAAGCAAAACCTGTCTGAGGACTACTTGACGGTGTATGTCAGTTTAAAGTCCAACACCGTCAACGGTTTGGTAAGACTTATTTAAACTTACACTTGGGTTTTTGCCGTCGTGCACGTAAGGTAGTGCTTCTTGCACGATTTATTATAGCCCAGTGAACCACCAGTTTATCGAAATAGTAATGCGAAATTGACTCAACTCGCGTTAATGACTTGGGTCTTATCGCCACCTCTGTGAATCCGTTCGACCATCTCACTTAGAAACTCAAAGGCAAACAGTATTATCTTGGATATAGAGACGCTGAGGCATGCTCTCATGATCAATCGTGAGACGGTTACTTCAGGGATAGATGTGAGCGCTGGTTCCAGTAATACTTCTGGGATGCGTTGATCGGCCTGCTTCCCACCCAGGCTTCGGTCGGTAGTGGACTGAATTCTACAGGAGATGAGACCTCTGCGTCTTCAGAACTTCGTGCAGACGATGAAGCTTGACCGTCTGACAAGGAAAGAACATATTGAGTTAACACCCATACCGCTCCCGAGACTGTCATATGTCACGATGAGGCTTCATAGTGGGGTCATATGCTCGACTCGTCACCAAGGATCGGAGTAGCACTGATTCTTGACGTTACGGGACAAACCGGCTCATCTGGACACGATGGATGGAGAGAAGGGACCGATTGAGGTGTCTGAAGAGATGATAAATCTTCGACTGCGGAGAGGTCGGCTTACATCCATGGAATAACGATCCTTCACAGGAGGGGCACGATCGTGGTTGTATTGAGTAGCAATAGCTTTCTCAAGCACCACTAGGCGATCGTCTAGGTCGGCCCTTATCATATCGTCAGAATTGTACCGGAGCTCATAACACTCGTTCTCTACTGTGGCGAGCCTCATCAGGATGGCTCTCATCTCCTGAACATGATTTCAGTGTTCACATCGTCCACGGGCATACTTCGTGAATCTTTCTTATACTAGTTTGGACTCGACCTTCCACTTCTTGCGCGATACTCACTGGCTTGCTATGAGCCTCGATAACCTCACGCCTACGACATCAGTTTTGAGGCGCACACGACATGAAGTTGTTGCTACAGTTTGACCAGCATCACGGATTGTTCATCACGAATGTCTGCCTTCAGCTCATCAACCGCCCGACAACTCTGATCAGCTTTTCTCCTCATCACAGCCACTCTATGTTCGAGAACCTTCGAGATCAAGATTGAAGTCATCAGCAAAACCATTCAAAGGGTCATGTTACTTCCATCGACCTTCGAGAGGCGCTCATCTCCTTCTCTAATTTACAAACTTCCATACTGGACTTCACATGCTTAGCTACAGCGTTGTCGATCAACTTCGTTAATCCCGGTGACGCTAGTAGATTCCTCCTGAAATCGCAACTTATACCCCCAGAAATTAGCGCTCTGTTCCTAACGCTGTCCGCTGCACTTCCTCAGAGGGGCATTCACTACTGACAGAGGACCGCGACATTAACTGGCTTTGTCCCGACCCAGAAGTGACAACCTCCTGGAACAGTTCACAGTTGAAATCTCACGATTGACATTCTGTTACTGTCACCTCAACCTGTTTCTTGAGTTTATTCAGTTCCCGTTGCAGACCGTTAGTCGCCTTGCTGCACTGTTTCACTGATGCCCTTATGGACTCCGAGAATCTGATCGTCCCGATGCGGTCGTTACCAAGATGGGGACGACGACTGACAAATCCGAGGCCTGTCTCGATTTCGAAGGAGACTCTTCCGCCGCCTTCTGCCTCGCGCGAATCTCTTCGATCTGTTGCGGTATGGCTAGGTCGTCGAGGCGCCTGATGAGGAAGGGCCTTCAGCCCCAGCACCACCACGCACTGACCTCGTACCGACACAGTTTCTCTTCAGCAAGTGTGAGCAGCCACTCCTCTCGGAGTTCATTTTCGTCCTCACGATAACCAAGCTCTGCCACAGTGGATTCAAGGCGAGCCAATCGGGCATTCACCTGATGGGAAATATTATCAGATGGATGTGCCGTTTCTTTCATGATAAAGTAATCCGATTCGAGTCATCTACACTGATACTACTGCAGCGTCATTGGATTCGTTGACTTCAGCATTCCTACTGACTTCCGGCCGAGCCGATCCTTCATCGCGTTCATGACGGGAAGCGCGTCGTAACTTGAGAGCGTAGGAAGAGCTAATAGGATCATTCAGTCGGTCTTGTGGCACCTCAGCGACTTCCTCTTCTAGTTGGGAAAATTTTACGTGAATTTCTCGCAACTGACTTGCAGTGTTTTCCTCAAGTCTCGACAACCACGACACCTGATCAGCGGAACTCACATAACTTCATAAATAATTTTCGATCCTACAATCTCCACCATCGTGGGCTTCTGTCCTGCGGAATTAATTTCATGTTCGTTCCTGGCTGTTGCGACTTGCGAGGATTCGAAGCGGTTCGCGAAACTCTAAGTAGAGGGCTCGTATTCCAGGCAACTCAATAGCGCCCGATTGTTCCACATTTCAAGTAGCCGTTCATTTCTCATTCGAGAGTATGTCACGGATTTTCCAACCGACACAGGTCAACTATCTACCATTATAAATGTTGAATCCTTCGACTGGCTTGCTCTCTCTTCAACCTTGTCGGGACCGCCCGAGTTCGAAGTGGTAACATCACTCATCATCTACGTTGTGAACAGCTGCACATGTGTCTGCTACTCACCGCGGCGTGGTTCTATATCAACGTGGTCGATGCACGGCCTACCTTACCCAAGATTGACTTCGGAAAAACTCAAGAGTGTTATGCTGAAGAGAAACATTCTAACTTCATACTCTTGTAAAGTTATAGCTGTCTATGTGCTCTATCTAACTCTGCTATCTTCAATGGCAGCACTCAAGAAGATCAATATCATCGACAATCTTCGAGGGGTCGGCCGATGGAGACAGTTCAGCATATAACGCTTGCATACGCAAGAGTGTAGTACGTACCTGAGGCACCTCAAGTCTTTCCTACTGGAGACCCCCATCCTTACGAATCGATCAAATGATACTGTAGACAATCAGAGGCCCCGATTTAGGGCGTGGCGCGCGCTGTAGAGCGAGCAGTTCCTTCCTAGACACGACTGAAGGACTGATGAATACTTTAGCTTCAGAGCAAACAACAAGACTACAATATTGTAGCTCTTCCACATCGTCGAAGTCGGGAGGTAGACTCAGAGGGCCACAACTATTATACTTTATACATTCAAAACATGACCGGGCAGCAGAAGTCTCGGGGATGTTCGGTGATGCGGGAGGAGAGTCTGTCGCTGCCGATGACTCTAATTACGATGTCCAGCGTCATCTCCGCCAGGACCTGAATGCATCACTCTCAAGACCAGTCGAGATGACTGAGGCGCACGGACCTTTTCGGTTGGACTGATGCTTTTAGATAGCTCCTCGAGTCGCTGTGAAATCAAGACCAGATTGTCAAATACAAACGAAGACAGCATTCCTGGCGACATCCTGAGACGGATACGTTCTCACCGTACCAAAGTAGAGGAGAGTTGGCGCACCTGTCCAGCCCCTGAACGGCTGCTAACGTATGGATATCAGACCACTCCATCTCATCCTTGCTCCCTAATAACTCACAGAGTACTTCAGCGAGGACTTCATCGGACCGCGTGGAATCACTTCGTGACAGTGCCTGAGGGGTAGATAACAGTGAACTTCATAGTTCGTCCGCAACAAGTCTAACGTTCTCCGAGATTTTCTCCGCGAGTTTTATCAAAATGAAGACTAGGCCTAACATAGCCGTCTCAAAGCTGTTGCGGCACTGCCAAGCGATTTTCCTATAAATATTGGCTTGCTATTCAACACCGAAAAAACGAGGTTTAACAGATACATATTCCTCGTCAGCGTTAGGTCTCGCACCGAATTCAAACAGACTCACACAAATTAGCCTCGACAAGACGGCATCATCTCCGTAATAGCTTTTGGATCCTCCAATGCTTGTATGAACATCCAGCGAGCACAGCACATCCATCAGTCCTCTCGGTAGGATTCGTAACGCATTGGAAGGCGAGAAGGCAGCGAGGAAAGCCAAACGAGCCAGACCGCGACGAGTAACTAACAAGCCTGGAATCAGCCACCACAGGAGGGATGATACTCACGGCTCGCCCCTGCTGCAACAGCGGTGACAGCAGCTTCGATCGCTTCCCATTTAATTTCAATGCCAGAAGTGTCAACGACATACAGTAGCTCAACGAAGTCTTCAATACTGTCGATGGCCCCCTTCAACGAGGTGCTCGCATTAGAGTCTGAATGAGTTCATGACGGAGACATTCGGGGGATAACGTCTCACTGAAGGTCGCCACAATGTGTTGGTATTTCAAGTGTGTTGAAGCTGAGAGCTCGACCAGTCCGAGCACGCCATGCGCGGTCCAGTCGGCACCTAGCAACAAGTATGCCACCATATTCAAATGGTCAAAATCATCTATGGTGACCCACCTTCGCGCCCCACGAAATCCTGTGCGAGAAGTTGCGCCAATTTTGAGCATTTGTCGAAGCAGTCTCGATTATCTGCTCCCGAGTCGTTCGCGTTGAAGTGGTTTAAGAGTATAACGATGGACTCAGGGAGGTGATCTGAAAGCAGTAGACTGCGGAGCCTCGGGCAACACAGTCCTCGTCTACTTTTCTCCTCTGCCGAGCAACACCCGATGCCTTCGTCGCAGATAGCGTCTAGCAGCTTCTCGAACAGATGACGAGACATTGGACACCGTCTAGCCGACTCGGTCGTAGAGGTCGAGATGGAGCTGCACGACTTCGGCTCAGTAGACGGTCCAAGTGCACTCAAAGATCTGCCGGTGCCCTGACTAGAGCTTAATCGCAGCGCCGCAGCACCTGAGTAGGCATGCTGAAGGCGACATCAGTCTAGGCAGAACCCTACTTGCTCGAAGAAGCCCCGGAACAGCTGAGGCGTCGAATGGCTTCTGGCTTGTGCGTAAGACAAGTTCAATACTATGATAGGCCTGAGAGAGTATGAGATAGTGACAGCATCTGAGTCTAGCCCACCCACTTTATCTAGGAATTCCTCATGTACTACTCCGCATCCTACTATGGCCCACAGCAACTCGGACAGATCCTTCGCCTTGAGCTTGAATAATAAGCGTCCACGACTGCAGAAGTGCTCGCTCGAGCGCTTCATGAGCACAGTGAGAGCTCCTGGATTCCTTCTGGAGTCTGAAGAGCGAATATATAATTCATCGAATATATTATGCATTCAAAGTTTGGCAGTAGTGCCCTAGTTCTCATTGATCATGAAGCAGAACCCCCGACAGACTAGGATTAACCCTGCAGCAGTCTCCTGCACTCGGAGATCGCGCGAGACGACCTTGCTACAATTCAACCAATTGAAAGGGATCATGTCGTGTATCAGTGCCATGATCCCAAACTCGAACAAACACTCTCAACTCGAGAGTCCACGCTCCCCCATGAGCTCGATTATTCCATGATCAAGAATCGGAGATTTAGCTCGCTATAACCAAGTATCATCTAATATCTTATGGAACTTGTAGTGAACTTTGGGTGAGACCTCACGCAACTCACCGACTGCAACCGGAAGTAACTACTCAAAACCAGTTTTTGCTGCCAAAAGACTGCATAACTGTATCTATTCTGGCTGTTATCGGAATATCTTATTCACCAGGTCTTGATTAGCATCATCATCCCATCATACGCCATTGCACCTATCATGTGTATATTTGGGCCCTTGGTCGGAGGCTCTGTCACAGTCGCACGTTCGCCCCTCCAGGTCCAGCCATGGGTCTGCTGTAAAAGAGGTTCAAGTTGCTTTCGTCCCAGTAGATAGTGATGTACCCCATGCCGCACACCTTCATGATACTATCATGATGATAGTGTCAGCGAAATAATACCTCATAAACTCGGAGTTTAAAGCTCCAACCGCGTGATGTATTTATATATGTGAGCTGTGAGGTAAACTCACAAGTTCCACCCTGCATCTCAAGCCATTGGCTTCTCCTTACTGATGGTGAAGACACCCTGCAGTGTTTTCCGGCGTATGCTCGGAGAGTTTCGTACTCCTCAAGAGTATCGAAGACTCTTAAGAGTATCGGGATACTCTTCAAAGCGGACGAAGTAGAAAAGTCCTTGGGAAGAGCCTCAGCAACAATAACGGTCCAGGACCATCGGTCCTGGTGTGACCCAGCAGGTGTCCGATAGACATTGTCCATATTTTGCATCATTCATGGTAGGTCCAGCGTGACGGCCCTTCTCGGCTTTGACTCGAGATATGAAGCTCTTGTCCAACCTACCGATATGGAGCGATATCCCTTCATGCATCACACTGCATCTCCTTGGCAAGGTAATTCAGCATGGCATTCCTTTCGGAGGGCAAATTATGAGTGTGGATGAATAGCAATATTTTGCCAGGGATGATAAGCTCGACGCTAGCCAGGCGTGCTATATCCTCCCGGGACAGCTCCGCTCCCACAATTAATTCTCCTAGCCGGCTGATAACACCTATCTAGGCAGACGAACCCTATATAGCGACAAGGCTAAGACGAGAAGAACTAAATGAAGGTCCCACCCAGTAGCAACTGTGAGTGTCGTATGTTCAACACACAATGCTATTCCACGGTGGAGTAGCATTGCGTGGAATTTCCACGGTGGACTTTCCACCTCCGAGGAACTCGGGAACAGTCTCTTCAGACGACCCACCGCACATAGCAATAACAAGGGAATGATCACACATAGCGGGCACCACAAGCCCCGATCGAGGACGATGCGGCATAAATTCCATCAGCAGTCGCTGGAAAGCTCTGCGAATCATTCGCAGCGAATGGATAGTTCGCAAAGTTGGAATATTGAATACTTCAAGTATTATACTTGTGCAATAACAATCATCATATAGATGTTCGCTACTATTGCGAATCCATCTTGATTTGATCATGGTGGTCATCAAGCACTATTTCGGTGGTGTAAGCTTCCGCGATTTGAAACATTGCGACGATGGGAAACCAAATTCCACAATTCCCGTCTGAATAGTCGAAGGCAACCGGAATTTTGACGATGAATATTGAAATTCTATCGCGAGGATGAAAGAAAACCTTCTCACTCTTCTTCATCTTGGTGTCGTTTCTTCCTTGAGACAGAGCCCAGGCTAGAGATGCTAATGATGCCGGCGGGAAGGTGTCGACCGATAAGCGAGCCACACAATAGGCTGCTGTTATGTCGCACACCTCCGAGTAATCCTCCATGACAGAACTGAGGAACAAGGCATAGGCAGAGAACATGGACACTGTTCGATGTACGCAGACATATCCTTTGTAGTGGCCATGGCCCACATCACTGATGACAGCTCAACGGGTTTGAAACCCGCAAGGAACGCTTCACCACTCAACCTCATCCTACCCACTACGTAGGAGAACCTGTCAAACGAGCGCAGTGGTAGAATACTTCCTCATGAACTTAGGTGACCATTGAGAGTCCACCTACATATCATTGACGATCTCCTCCAGTTCGTGAAACTGGCTAGGTTCATCTAGAAATGACCGAGATTTGGCCAACGACCAGCAGAGGTTCGTCACGTCCGGCGGATTCATCAGCTCGGACATGGCCAAGGATTTCTCCACCACCTGAGAAACGCCGAACTCCCCAGTGGCTCAGACACGGTCTTATCCTTACACTGTGGAGTAGAACCATATCTACGATACGGAGCTTGGCCATAGCCCAGGAGAGGTTAGCGAGATGCTGACAACTGCAGTCTTCCTCGAGACGACCTACGGCCAGCGGCATTCTACTGAGGTGATATTGAAAGCCTACACTGATGTAGAAGAGTCTTGATTTCCGGCCGATAATTAGTGGCAGCTTCCTTGGCGTGGAATCTGGCCAGACGATGGAAAAGGGTCGCCCAATTGACCGTGTTGAACATCAGACCTGACACACGATAAACGAATATTTGCTGCTGGCAACAGTAATAGGGCTCCCCACGGTTAGTCTTAGCCACATTGATCAAATCCGATACAGAGGCCTTAGGATTTGTCAGAGTTCTGTTGATGTGCACTTGCTCCTTAGCTAGAACGAAGGAATCCTGTCTCCCCTCTGAGGAGCTGGCCTAAAAGCGATAGCATCCATGAGATTCCGATACCAACGACCAACCTTAGAGCTGTGACGGCGAGGTCTAGTGTCACCACCACAGTAGCCCGCCGACTTCTCGTCCGCTGCTGCAGGAAGGCTCGCAGTGGTGGTCGAAACCTCTGAATGGGCTGAAAGGCAAACATCCACAGGATGACGGATGCCATGCGATGTACAGAGATATTTCTTCTTCCATCTCTGACCATCACCCAGCAAACTGCCAGTAGCAATAACTCGCAGGTCATCCCTGTTCTCCTTATCCTGAATCCAAGCAGATAAGGTGACAACACTGGTTATTCCGAACATGTACCTTCGAGGAACCCCTGGTCGGCACTGATGACGATGCCGAAGCCTTAATGGTCCGAGTGCGACGGCCGCTCATAGTTAAATATAGAACAGTTCGCCCCACACTATGGAATGCCGTAGCAAGAGTAGCCCCTCCAAGAGCTCACGAACAGTGGCCTTCTAGTCCTGCACACCTAGTGAGCTCCCGATCACATCATCATCATCATCGCCAGCAATCGAGGTTAAAACAAACTCTCATGAGCTGCTTAGAAACTTATGGTAACGTAGGAATCAAACGTATAGCTATAATGTGGATAAGGCCCTACGGCAGAGCGCCACTCGGCTGGTAGTAGCCTCCACCAGCACCTCCGCCCGATAAGTCCGCCAACGAGGTATACCGATCCAAGTACTGCTTCTCATCCTCGGCCGTAACCTAACACGCTCATCACTAAGAGTTGAGTACGCTGATCATAATAGTCTCACCGTGAACTTAGAGTCGCATATACTGAGATTTTGTTCTTCCTCTCTCGCAGACTCCCCGCCACTTCCGCCGGCAACAAGGGCCATTTCAAGGACGTGCTGTTCTGCCTCGGGACCACTGTAGGCGAACTTGAGCCCCGACTTTCGCACTGACTCGTCAAAGTCAGCGATGACCTACACACCACTACCCAAAGACTTGCGATCGCCGAGAAGTTCCTCACCTTGAAACTATACCCCTGATCAACCAGATACTTCTGCCGTTTCAATGCATACTCTTTCTCAGGTGTGTCCTTCGAGACCAGCGAATAGAAGTATCTGACCATGACACCAATCACACCTCCCTCTCCACGCCGACAAATCATAGACATACGCATTGAAGCCGGCGTCATCGCGGTAAGCCTTCGGTCGAAGGATTCGTCCGAGCCTCTGAGCTTCTTGCCGTCTACTGCCATAATGTGAGCTGATCTGTATGACCACGTTGGCGTTGGGTATGTCAATGGCGTTGTCACCGACCTAAGCATAAGCTCAACACCCCTGACCTCAAATATGGTCGGGGCTCACCTGGGAAAGGTAGATACAGTTGATCTTATCACTATGCTGGAAACATCTAATGCAAGCCATTCGCTCAGCCATGCTAACACTGCCACATATAAAGGCCTTTCTGGTTCTCTGGGCCATCTCCTTCAACAACACCACGTTATCGCAGAAGACGATTATTTTGTCTCCTCGAGATTCGTGCAGTGCAACAAGATACTCGCATGCCATCAACTTGTTGGTATTAGATGTATACCTGCCAACCTTAGAGCTCTCTCAAGCCACTCAACAAGGGAAACCTACAGGGCCCTTTTCACGTGGTAAGTATTGGTCTCCAAATATGCCTTCCAAAACAGAGGAGGCATCTCGCTCCACACCTCGATACACTGGACCTGACCGTTCGCACATACCAACAGGAATCTCTATGGCTCATACGAGCCTACCCGAGCCAAGTAGCCTGCATTGACGAGCTCCTGCCAGTTCGCCTCATACAGCTTGGGGCCGATGAGGTACTGCAGATCCTCGACGAGCTCATCTTCTCGAACAAGGGTCGCAGTCAGGCCTGGCAAATCCACACGACAGATTTTGCGGTAATTGCATCAGAAAATCTTCCTTACCAAGTTTGCAGTGGGCTCGAACCGTAGTCGCCACCGAACGGAATGTTTTCGCCGGCATCACTTGAACCTGTAGGGAGCATTGAGGAGGACTAAGAGCCCGGCAGCGGCACCTCGTCAGCCACGAGCAGACCCCATTCTAGCTTGGTGACGGACTCAAAGACCGCCTTCGATGCTCGAGACATCCTCTCATATGATACTGAGAACATACTGTACCTGTCGAGGAGAACGAATACCCTTATTTTGTGCAATATAATGCGATATATTCGCCGAGACCGATGGAGGGCGGTGGAATCGAACCCGCGACCTACGTGCTGATGAGAATGCACGGCCGATCTTCTGGTATAGGTTGCTTGTTCTCAGCTGTCAGCGTGATGACGTCATCAGGCGATATCGAACAGAAGAGCTCGAATTGCCGCTTCCACTGGTCCACCGCCACAGCCGTAGTCGTCAAGACCTAAGGCAACCACTAACACTTTACCCTCTCCACAGGTCACTCCTCACCATCGTTCGTTTCTTCATTGTAGCCGCTGCTGTAATTCCCACCAGTGTTTTACCAGCACCGCATGGTAACACTATCATACCTGCTCATAATAAAGGTACCCGACTTATCCATTGTAGCAGCCCCTACCACTCCTGGCTCGACTGCCACTGAACATCTTATGCAGAGACCTTTCTTGATATGGTCGGACGATCGTAGTAGGCCTACAGTTCACAGTGACTACTATCAGCCATTCCAGATTTCTCCTCAACGAGCCCTATCCCATACCACAACTGCATCAACTTTCCGAAGACCCTACACTGTACCAGAGGCTATTCCCATGCATAGTCCCCGCCCCTACCTGAACTGCATGTTGATGTAATTGGAGTCATCATCATCACGAAAATCATACTCCTCCAGTAGCGGTATCCGAATCTCGCGATACCTACCAAAATACCATAACATTCGTCGCTTCGCTCCGCTCAACATACGCAGTTGCCTTCACAGTTTCCACATCAGCCGAGTTGATCTCAAACATGTGGACGACTTGCGCAGCCATCTTATCGCCAGTAGAGGCGTTGGCAGCCCCCGGATTGGTCTCAGCCGTCGTCGCTAAAGGCAACCTCTATACCATCAACCGAGACTTTAGCAATCTTAGCAACGACCCCAAGGGGCCAAAAAGCAGAATGCCCCTTAGCGAACAGTGGTGACCATTACTACGGCGATGGACAGTGTTCCCAGTCAAATGTGACTACTAAGCCTTATTGTGAGCTATAGTATGTGCAATCTAAAGGGCTTTCAGAATGATATGGTATCAGCCCAAAGTTTCAGTTCGAAACTCCCTATGGTTGAGGACTCCTCGTCCTGCAAAGTTTCGTACTCTCGAGAGATTGCGCGTACTTCACGTAACATGTATCCCAGAAACCCCATTCTGATGCATTGACTTTTTACCCGTTTTACGCGATGTGGCGTGATACTCCATGTGAAAAACGTGATATTCGCGATATGAAGTGAATTGAGAACACTTCGCGAATCAGCCCGGAAAGATGACCCCATTTCACGTGAGAAACTCGCAGCATTTCACGTGTCTTACGCGTTTTTCACGGCTTACATACGTTATTCGCGAAGTAAAATGAGGATTATGTTTTTCACTAGTGTTTTTGTGATACCCGAGATGTGCCCCTCCCACCCCGACCAACACTTACTAGAGATTATTTGACCCAATTTACACTTCCTTATCTTGCTGTTGTCCTCGATCATTCTCAGTAATGACAAGTCACTCGATTCCACGAAGTACCTTATGAACATCAACTCATTCGACTACCACAGCAGCAACGGCGGCGGCGGCCATCCACATGCACATGGTCATCTACGTGTGTTGGTGATAGTATGGAAATTTTGAGGAAATTCTCGTTGGAACTCCCGCCCGAATTCGCACATGCCACTACTCATACGTATGTGCCCAACTCCTATAATCAGTAAGGAAACTCTAAAATTCAACTTTAGTGAGGAAAGCGAACATACATCCCAACACTGGCGCTACCTGTTTCTGCGTAGGACCAGCCTAACCTTGCCTATCCTCGACCCGCTCTGCTGAATGTAATCCAGAAGTACGGGATCAATTTCATTCTTCGAGAAACGATCAAGGTCAGCTATAACCTCCTCCACAGACATACCCAAAGATATCGCCGCGTACCTGTTGCGCACAGCGAAGATTTCCCACACACACAGACCAACCCCCGCAGCTCTACTCACAGGGAAAACACTGTGATTTGGAAGTGATGAACCTGAGAGAGAACCAAGAGCCTCCTCCCAAGCACGACTAGCCAAACTCGCTGACTTACCCACGACGGTCTCGATATAGGCTCAGCGATAGCAACGAGAAAATCTGTCACCGGACCGAACAGATCCGGATGAAGACCGGCCTCGAAAATAATGCGGCCATCAGGACACACCTGAACGGTTATATGGGATACTTTCTGAATATGCGGAGGAGCTCACCCAAAGCGGCCGATCTCTGTGGTCCGGTTTCAATTTCATTCTCCCCGATAGGTCCATAAGCTGGGTCGTAGCCGTGTCCTGCAGAAGAGTCCAGTACGACTGGTCATAGTCCCCCCTCCTACCTGCGTTTCCCCGATGACTGGTATCGGCCTATTCAACACTTCTCCACTATTAACGGCAGCGCTCTTGTTGGAGTATATCCGCAGTGCAGATCGGCCACCTGATAGGTCAGATTATGATACCAACACCTCGTCTACTACCACTACTACTACTACTACTACTACTACTACTACTACTACTACTACTACTACTACTATTATTACTAGAAGGCAGCATCTGACCTGCTGCCGCCGCCTGTTGCTTTAATGCTGATGCCGTCAACCTCACCCCTGGCGGCAGGGCCTGAAAATCCGCCATCTACCACTTCGACAAAAGAGACAGACCGACTACCGTAGAAGAAACACTAGACGCCGCCGAGCCTGCTGCTGTTGCTGTAGCAGACACATCTCCCTTAGTTTCCTCCATCACTGCATCCCCTACCCCTCGCAAACGTATTCGATTACTCCGCGTAGAGTAAACCGACTGAGCCGTGTCAATCGCCGTACCTAACAAGATGATCTTCCTCAACCATAATTGACAATATAATGGAGTTTCATCCGTGATATGAAAACACTAGTAGTGAAAATTATATCTTACGACTACTCCATAGCACCGCGAATATCGCAGAGTATTACGCCACTTCACGTAAAACGATTAAGACCCCAATATACCTGCTGCCAGCAACTGAGCTTTTTTTTCTTTCTTTTCCTTCTTTTTCTTTTTCTTCTCCTTCTTATCCTTATGGTGGTGATGATGGTGACGGCGACTCCCATCATCGCTGCTCCCAATAGAGTTCTTCCGTTTCGATATAGACCCATCGGACACTCTAGGGCTCGATGAGGCCCCTCCTCCTCCTAACTCTACCACTACGCCTTCTTCTGCCTTCTTGCCCATCCACAACGACAAGACTGTATACAGCACATACACGACCATGGTCAACCCGACAACACAAGAGAATTGAAAAAGTGAAAATATAATACTACGAGGCAGCAGCCCTTCGCTTCCTGCTACCTTCCCCACAACTCTGATGCGTTCGAGCTCCAATCTAAACATACGAATATTCACTCACCTACCACCTCCTCCTGCTCTGTCTTCTTGCCCATCAACAAGGCAACAACACTGTACACACTACCCTGCTCACTATCATCCAAGAACAACAACAACAACACGAGGAAGCTGTGAGAGTGAAATTATAATACTACGAACCAGACCGGGAAGAGGCAGCAGCCCTTCGACCACTACTACTGCCTTTCCCTACAACTCTCATCCGCTCGAGCTCCAATCTAAACACACAAGTATTCACTAATTTCCAACAGCAGCTGCCGCGACCCAGATGTTCCGAAGTATTGCAACCAACCTAGAGTCTTCCATAAAATTCCACCAGGCCCACTACAGCCACATGCATACCTCGTTTTCCAGGTTTCTGGATGTCACATTAAATCAGTTGCAATGGCGTTCACCACAACTATTGGGAACATTTCATACGATTCAACTAAAGCGCCCCCCCCCCTCTGCATCGCTCCGCTGCGTACCTGTTGATCATACTGTAAATTATCTGGTTCTCAATCTTCAACGCCTTCAGCTCCAAATCGATCTCCTGGCAACTGTAGACTTTCGGCGGTCTCGGCAGCTGATCTGACAGGATCAGTAGGGATGAAGATGACCTCCACAGTATCACGAAAACGTTCGGTCGGAGCGTTTCGAATAGAAAATGTTCAAGTGAAGTTTTTTTAGAAAAGTGGATCCGTGTAGTATTCGACCGGCAGATGCTGCATCAACTTTCAGACAAGTTCCAAGGCCTGGCGACACATTTCTCCCGCCACTGGATTAGGCGTACTATAGATATTTGATAGGAAAAATTCTGAGACTTTTACTCGTGAATTATGGTTCCGAAATAACCCCAGGCCGCCTCGAACTATCTTAGTTCGCTAGCTGTCAATCACGGATATAAGTAATGCCCGACCCAGCGACACTACTCTGCAATTGATACTCCGTCACTCCGCCTTCTCCAGGCGTAGACGACAACGGCGACGACGATGAGGAAGGTGATGGTGATGGCATTGGCAGGGACATCTTCTAGTAATACACTGAGAGAGAGGAGATTCACATTCACTGACTCCGACACTCTCGAAACGTAGTTGCAGCGAATAAGCTTCTGAGCCACAATATACAGGTGTACCATTGGTTCAAACGCAAGACGATGAAGTAAGAGAATGAAGATGAGATACAATGGAGGTTTGAAAGTCATGAAATTCATAGCACTAGTGTGGAGATCTCGAGATAAGGCTCCAGTATAGATTGCTATACCCATACCATCTCTCCCCGAAATCCTCTCTCAATGCACTTAGCGACAGTCTGATAGTCTCTCCCCCTCAACAAGCGACCAAGCTAGAACGACACATCTTACTCCAATCCATCACTAACAACAACGGCCGACATACAGCCTGTCCATACACCCCCGAGTGATCACCGTGGCCAGGAGCCGATATCATTGACCTTCCCGTCCTTCAAGACGTAGCCTCCGCTTGCGTCCAAAACCCTCAATTTCGAACGACTTATACTCAGCTACAACACCAGCGACCAACACTAAGAGGTGGTGGACTCCTTCATCTCGATGCCAGGATGCGACCCGACAGGCTCGATAGGGGAGGCATCATACTATAGAGACATATTTCAATCGGAGAGAATACAAGAAGTCCATGACAAACTCACCGTCACTGCGCCACAAACTCCCTTGCACGACCACAGACGACTGTTTTTACCACTAAAGCCACACAACATATTTCAGTGCGATCAGAAACAACAACAAGGACAATATCACATGCAAGCTAGAGTTGATTATCCCATTGTCCTTTAGCACGGCGGAAAAGATGATCAGGTACTGGTGAATATTGGTCAGGCATAATTAACCTATCATACCACACCATCCACAACTCCTATCCTCCCCTCCTACTACTACCTCTCAGGCATGCAGTATACACCATCATCGTCATTGATCTCAGGATCAGGGTTACCCCAACTATCCACACTCCTCTCCACATAGTCCTCAGACCCCAGCGGCAAGCTCTCATTAGCCTCTATTGCTTCTCGTCGCAACAAGTCAACATTCAATTCGCCACTGCCAACACCTTCCCTCTACCTCAACACCAATGAACTGCCCACCTCTTGTGTATTATCACTGGTCTCTTTGGCTTGCCTCCAATTGTCCCCACTCTTTCAATAGCATCAAGAACCTTCCACACTCGAATGAAAAACAGTGGCAACAGTCCGAACTACTACTACTACTACTACTACTACTACTACTACTACTACTACTACTACTACTACTACTACTACTTCCATGCCGTGCTCGATCGCACCGAAAACAACATGTTTACCATCTAGATGCTTCTGAGGGCCAAACGTTATAAAGAAATTACTGTTGTTGCTGTGCCTGAACAAACCAGAGTATGGGGGGGGAGAGATATACACATATGTTGGTGACAATACGAAAGTTTTGAGGAAATTTTTTTGGAAATTCTCTACATTTCTACTCGAATTCGTGGGGAAACTCCCAAGCTCAGCTGAGGAAAGCGACCACACATATCCCAACAGCGTTGGGATATGTGTGGTCGCTTTCTCTTAGCGTTGAACCAACGCTACAACAAACATGCCCTGCGACCCATCCCAGACAGTTCCTACTCCCATCCCGCATCTGCCATACTCAATACACCACGCTTCGAGTGACTAAATGCAAATCTGAAGACGGCTATAAAGCATTAAGACGATTAAGACGATTAAGACAATTTAACCACCTCTCATTCCGCATAAACTGACCGTAGATCGACTCGCCCATGCCGCCATTGCCGAAATTGAAGTCACCTCCTTGGCACATAAAGCCGGGGATAATACGATACATACGGGAGTTCTGATACCTAACATGTCGTCGTTGGACCAACACACAACAGCTATCTGATCCCGACCAAACTAAGCAGCCAGCCAATTTCGCTAGATCTCAGATTTAATGCCAGCTCCGATAGCAATACCCTATCAATTCCTCCCCTGTGAACCGTATACACTCTATAGGTGAGCTACTACTACTACTACTACTACTACTACTACTACTACTACTACTACCATCTTGGCCGCAACCAGTACCCCAGGCCTGTCTCCCCTGTACACAGTGCCCGGAAGTTCTCACAAGTAATAGGCAACTAACATGATACTGAGCCGTGGTCCATCGAGACTTGCCTTACCACATCATCGAACAACCTAAAGACCATCCGACCTACCCCGACATCTCCAACGGCGATATCAAAGTATCTGACGGACCACAGTGGACCTCTTCCGTATCTTACTACCTACACCCTAGGATTCGTCGGCCGTATCAGATGGGACATCAACTGATGAGCAGCCAATACCACTACGACGACGATGACGACGACCAGCATTCCCATCTACCAACACAATCGAAAAACCTCAAGAAAATCGAAACTCGGCGACTATTGCTTGGATGTGAATCAGTGTGCCAATCAATGGCGATGACGCGGACTGTTGCTCTCATGTCGATGGTGTCTCGGCGATCCCAAACTCCCCGACCTGGCCCTCTTCGGTGACGGCGCTCCCTCCGACTCCGTCTCATGGGCTTCCCTAAAGTAACAAATCTTGGTCAATGTCCCCCCATTATACAGATTGGTCAATTAAGGCACGAATGAAACATACTCGCGGGATGTCAAGTTCCGACACAACTTTTTGGCAAATTTCAAGAAATCAAACCGCCGCGCTCAACAAAAACGCATTTAAGAAGAAGAACTCAAATAGGGCTTTCCAATGCCATATGATAGGTCCTACAACTCATCGGCTATAAAAAGCTATGGGGGCCCTCTTCAGGTCGGCACCCTGTACTACTTTGCCGCCGCTACAGTAGGCTGAGGTGGGGCCTTAGGGGGCTGAGGAGCAGCAGGGGCATGATCGAACACCGGGTTGAGCTGCTGGGTCACCTATAGTGACAATCACTACAATGACAAATAGCGTCGTCCGAGCCCCTACTCTAACGAAAGTAGTCCTCTTCGAGAGCTCCTTAAGGGCTCTGGCTCCAACATAGGTACAGCATGACCGAAGGCCTCCGAGGACGTCCTGTATAGTGTGGCTGACAGGACCGCGATACGGCACCTACTATTAGTGAGCTCATCGAGACGATACCAACATTGATAATACCTTCACAGACTTCCCCTCTGAGGCACGGTAATTGGCAACCCCTCCCGCATACTTATTCATAGCTGTATCAGACGACATACCATAAAACTCTTTATACCACTTCTCGCTGAACATTGCCCAGATTCAAGGATGCCACAGTCTACCAATGAGCCCACCTCCTAACATCGTGAACCAGCTGACCGCCACTCTCGTCATGACCAGCCAACATTCCTGAGATCATCATCTAGTCTAGGCGGACCCTAGTAGACCTACCTCCCAGCATGACGAAGTCCGCCCCGCCTCCAAAAGCTTTGCAGACGTCCCCTGAGCACGTGCAGCCACCATCAGAGATTATCCTGAACGATTCGACGAGGGAGTGGTAGTATTAGGGGTAGTTACTGAACATTACATGCCCCCAATTCCATGCGCGGCGTCAGCACATTCGATAACAGCGGAGAGCTGGGGATACCCAACGCCTAACAACATAAAAGGACTCCAGTTGGGATGATATGCCTCCTTCCATAGCTCCATCCCTGGTTCAATCCCCCCACCTGTCATTTTCCTAGTAGTGCACACACTACCCGGGCCAATCCCAACCTTGACGATATCAGCACCGGACAGCAGCAACTCTTCGCACATCTCCCCAGTGACCACATTACCAGCCATTATCACCTACCATCCGCTCCCATCGGCCCCTGCCCAACAGCCCTTCCTCATTACCTTATCAGGATAGTCCTTCCTCAACGTCCTGACAGCCTCAACAAAGGCTTCAGCATAACCGTTAGCGACGTCGAGACAGATGAAATTGGCCTTGGAAATCTCCATCACCTTATATGGGACATAATAACAAGTGGGATAGGCCAACGCGCCCGGACTTACTGATTTCAGCTTTATGAGATCGTCCTTCATTATCCCTGTTGATACCGCCACGTTATCCAGTACCTATCAAAGGAGCCGTAGCGGGCAGCAGCAGATCGCTGTTGAAGGTAACTACATCTCGGCCGACCCGGGAGCACCAGTTCCTCCACTGCTCCAAGGAGTAATGCTTGTGGATGGCCACAAGACACTTGAATTTACCAAGTGCTTCCGCCATAGCAAAGGTACCTGGGAGACATTTAATTGTGGTCGGTGTAGTTGCATAAACTCACCGACTGTGTCCATGTTAGCTGCTATGACCGGAACCCCCGCCCACGTCAGAGAGCTGTGCATGAAGTGGAGCTCACGATCTAAGGTGACCTACGATGGAGGAAAACGTATCTTTATGCCCGTACCACACCAACTTGAACCTAAGATACTCCCTACCTGACTACGGGATGAAAGGGAGCTCCTCTTAGGCCTGAATAGGACATCTTTGAAATCCAACTTGATATCCTGGTCGATGCGGACCATAATCAACAGTGAACGCTGCAGTACTCCTCCTATTCACCAACCTCTACCACGACGACTCTCCTTTCTGTTAGCAGTGGCAGCAGATCAGGACTAAAGTATTGAGGAAATGCAAGTGAGCAAGATTTTGTAAGGGCGCAGAGTCAGCCCATGTGGAGGTGTTGAAAGGGTGTCTGTCGTTCGGGCAGCCTGAGGGCGTAATTGGATCCTGATACCGGCTAGTGCACATCTCTATTGACTTCCTATTCATATCTCCTGGAGTCGGTCAAGTCAAACACCTCCGAGAATAGCCATGAGCTCAGATGTACGGGCAGCCACTTCTACTGGGTCTTCTTCTAAGGAGCATTGTAGTTGATTTTCTGATGCAGTCGATGCCAGGAAGGCTAGGAGGTAATAAGGGTACCCGACCATGTTAGTCGCGGCACCTATCATGACCTGACGATTATCCTTATAGTTTTCTCGTAATTGTAGGGGCATTCGGCTGGGGGAGGGGGCGGACTGGTCACGGGTCGATTTAGTCTTCTACTCGGGACACTTTCATTTCAATGTGGCCATCAGTAGCCCTCCTACGGCAAGTAGCAGGCCGGCAGGCTCTGCTCAGTGACGTGCACTCTATGAAGGTACGAGAGCTCACTCGAGCAGTTAGTGCTGCTGTTGGTAATACCACACCTTGGACAACTCTGCAGAGACAACTGCCCTAGGTGGCTCCAGTAGTGCTGCTGGCCTGGATCGCAGGACTCGTCATCTTCTACCACCTGCCGACATGTGTCACCGTCTGGCCTGCTGTATCCGGGACAGACTCAAGGAAGGGGACTTTAATGGGAAGTAGGAAGCACTACTACTAGCCGAGTATTGTTGGTATCGCTGGCCTCAGGGAGAATCTTCTAATCCTTTGTCTGAGTTCCTTCGCTAAAAGCTCCTACCGGCACGTTGTCGTCTTCAAAGAGATTCTGGAGGGCTTGACCAACACTGGTGCCAAACCGTCTCGGCGATGCCACTTCTAATTGGATTCATATCAGGTCTGTTGGTGTCACCCAATATACCAACGTCGCATGCTATTGCTATACTACTTCATATGACTACTATCACGGGCAGGGATGCGGCCCTGCTTGTTAGACAAGTATGATTGCTGTTTGCATTTCCAGACGTTATACTGGCAGGTTATTACGTCGATCCTGACCAACCCTTTACCCCTCACTGGCTCAGAGTTAGCCTCGATTTTCGTCACAATTCACAAGGGAGGTTTGAGCGAAAACGACGTCCCTTTGGGCCACTTGGAGGCCCTGGCGGAGCGCTCTATACGAAATGGGTGCTTGCTGGGGATCGAACCTGCGTCCTTGACCAGTCTAGCATTGTCCCATGCTAAGGTAGCCTCTCCGTCGTCAGTGACCAGTGTTGTTGATGAATGGAATCCCTCAGATTAGAGGGAGTAACGCTGCACCATCTACCGTGCCAGCCGCCATAGCCACGGAAATATCAAGGCGGACAGTTGACCTGTCAGCGCCCCAGATCGCAGCGTGTGCTCTGGCCGTACGCGAGGCGGGCGAAGGGGAGCCTTTTAAAGCCTGTAGGCCCTTCTACTCAACCTCAACAGATCTGTAATTTCAATGTCAATAGTGAAGTTCCACCCAGGATGTGAAAATCAGTGGGAAAATAGATTTCGCGACTACTGCATAGCGCGAATATCGGCTTTTTCACAGAGTATTGCGCCACTTCGCGTCAAATGGGCGAAACTTCAGTGATATGTTTATATTATAAGATGTTATTAGAGTGATAAGGCCACAGTAGCATCATTGTCATTAAAACAGGTTTGGAGGCTTTGGGAAAGGAGGTCGAATACAAACTACTTGAAATGGACTTTGATGCATGGTGTCAATTACTGCAGGTAAACGGTAGTAGGCTCTACACCTTTTCCCGATCTGTCCCAAGGATTTCTGGTGATTTATATTTTTCCATACTCGTTTCATACATCGCCGTTGTGGTAGATCTAGACTCTCCATTATCCATCTCAACATCAAGCCTTGAAGAGCATGGAGACGTATTATTAGTAATAATAATATGAGTGGGAGTTTATCGGCTGAAACAATATTATCACATACCATACATTGAACACCTTATCCTCACTCGTATGATTATATTAGCAGAACTAGTTTCTTGTTAAACTAGATCGGCAAAATGTGTCGTATACTGTGGCTATACCTCAGGCGTTTGCCCCGGGTCCATGTGCACCGAGTAACTACCATAAAGTGGCCAACTTGGCCTGTGTGCATCTCCGTCGGGCCTTTGTGAGTGATGATAGTGGAGTGTCCTTCAAACAGGCGGTGGGCGCGTGTTACTCCCTTGCTAAGCATTGGGACTTCCCGAGAGACCAAGCGATGGAACTGATGGAAAACGTGTCAAAAAGCATCAGAAGCTTTCCCGTCACGTCCTTAGGGGACGCCGGGAGTATCGCCCACTTATGGTCAGTGATGAAGGTCAGCGACATACCACTCTTCCATCACTTGCTCTCTTGCATTTCCTCAACGCCTAGTAGTGATATCCTTCCGGTCCAATTACGGAAGCTGGTCTTGGCCATACGCCTCCAGCAGGGCCTCGATGACGATATAGTGGGCCGATTCGTGACGTGGTGTGTCGATCAGCTTGGACGACAGTTGCCTATGCGGTCGGTGCCGGACACAGCCAATATGCTAACAACAGCTTCAAGGCTTGCTGCTATTTGTCATACGAAGGAATCATATGAAGATCTGAAAGCTCTTTATATAAAGGCGATAGAAGTTTCAATTCCTGGCAGGGTGTATACGACACACACAGCCTCATCGAAGTTACTCAATGCTGTGGCCCTTCTTGGTGATGCTGATGTCGTTTCTGTGCTACTGTCACGTTTGGACGTACCTCGAGAGCACAGCCATAGGAGCTTCGGGAGTAACCGGTCGGTTCTGTTGGCATTTGTAAGGAGCTGTTCGCATTTGAAGCGACATGTGGCGTTACCTCACGAGACGGGGCTGCATCTGGACAGCCTTAGGGTGGATACGATGAAGCTGATGAGTGGTAAGGAGGCGAGCAAAGACCCTCACTGTAAATGTGTTAGCTGCCGTGGCAAGATGGAGACACGGGTGGAATGACTTCGGGGAATTCATGTTTCTGTCGATCGTTTCTCCGAAGAAGTGTTGCATCCTACTGAGTGGAGGAGAAGGTGTATTAGTTTGGGTATTGCTGATGGCACTATGGTCTGTCCCTCTGACACAACGTTCATTGTCCCAGCAAGGAGTATTCACCATCACTCGGTGTCTATTCGGAACTATTACTGAGCATCGTAAGAGCCTATTGAGGTGGCGGCATCGAGAGGCTCGTCGACGGCAAAGGCAAAAGCCGGCCAATTGGTGGCTGTCCCCTTCCGAGGCATCGAGGCTAGTAGGCTAGTCTTTCTTCTGGTATGCTTATACCCTCCACTGTTTCGTAGGTCCCAAGTGCTGACCAACGTCTCGAGCAGGAAGGTCGGTATGTGCATCCTGACAGGGGGAGATGGGAGGTCCAAGGTAAGGAGTTACACTTATGCTGTGCTGAGTACGCCCGAGCTGATTCGCTTTTGGTTTTATTGATGCTTTGGGTGACTGATTCGGCCATCTGCGTGGACTTCTTCCTATCAGTGTGGGAAGATATGCATATGGTCAACTACATGGGTTGGTGATGACAATATAATGATTTTGGCCAGTTCTCATTGGTTTCTGTACACTTCTACCCGTATGCGAAAGTGTATGTTACTGGGTAACCGCCTGAGCTCAGCTGAGGAAAGCAAATATACATCGTTGAAGTGGAGGGAGGGCCAATGAACTCCCTTGTCGAAGGCTTTTGTTGTCAGGCATGCCACAAGGGTTCACTACTGATGTGGTGACACATGATGAGTTGGTACCACAAGGAAGGCGCTGTTGTGGATGCGGATCCTCAGTGGGGGAGGGGGGGAGTGCGCACAGGGAAGGATATCATGTCTCCTCCCACTGCTAGGTCCAGTCGATGGACCATACCAAACAGGGGTATGTTCCAAAGGCCGTTGCAGACACATTCCGGGCTGGTCGTAAGAAGGTCTACAACACCCCTAGAGGAGTCCTGGTAGGAGTGTGCTCACATCCTCGGTGATTTCCCATTGTGTCGGTGTGGGAAATATGCACGTAGTCAACTACTTATGTAGGTGACATTTGTGGAAATTTTGAGGATGAAAATTGAGGAAATTCTCATCGGTTTCTGTACGCTTTCACCCGAATTTGTATGTAAACTTCTATAATTAGTGAGGAAACTTCTGCTGGACTAGGCTGAGGAATACGAACATATATTCCAACACTGCATTGTGTATTATCAGGTAGATGAGGCGGATCGTGGCAGCGCGCCGGGTGAAGTGGTTAAAGTGGAAAGCAGCAAGTATAAGATGAAGACGAGGCTTATATATTGCCAACGGTAGATGCCTTGGAAGGCTGCCGTGTCACCATCGTGCCATTCTACTCCTGGCTGAAGTCTCCTCCCCCTCCTCCCACAGGTGCTTTGTACTACAGCAGTATCACCGCTTACCCGATCCTAAGCAAGAGGAGGATAGGCTCAGGCGGAGGGAGATCGATGAGGGGCCTCCCGTAGAGGAGGCCATAGACGAGGAGGAGGAAGGGGAGGACGAGGACTCGATACAAATAGAACCTTTACAAGAGCTGGACGATGACGAGCTGGCTGAGGTCGGTGGGGAGGACGACTTGTCGTACGGCAGCCTTTTTGTTATTTGCATAACGGTTAGCAGAATGGACATATACAGAATCGACATAACTCGTCGAACTGGGATATTCAACATTCCACCTGAAATTCTATTTTATGATAGAATTGAGTATTATAGATGTATTAGCATTAGAGATGTAACTGCCTAGATGCGACTCGTGTCATCGCTCAGGTCTCCAAGCAGACCTCTATGGGGTATTACCGTATGAAAGGCGGGTACCAGTGGCAGGAAGAAGAGGAGATCGTTGCTAAGGTTGTTAAGAGCATCAGGAAAGGTAAACTACTGCCTTACTCTAACGCTACTTGCAACAGTACAGTATGGTCGATTTTGATAGTCTGAAGGGGAGAAAGTTCATATGTGTTAAACTAAAACGCATGATTTTACTTTCTCATAATCATGCAAATTTGATGCCCTATGAAGCCTTAGGAGGCAGGGGGCGTATTAAGCTTCATCTAGGCGCTTGGCCAGGACTGAATAAATTCTTGTGAGTTTGTAGCAAGGATGCTGCTAGGTGTTGTAAACTGTACGCCTCCGGAGTGTGATGCTTTCTCTTGTACGCCTGGTGTAGTAGACTGTTACTGCTGATGTACAATTACAGTGTGAAACTATAGGGGCCTTGCTTGTTGGGATTCTGTAACACATACTTATGAGGCGTGAGGTCTTACTCCCAGCAACATCCCTGGTTTGTAGACTCACTCGTCCTCATGTTGGTGGACATTCTGGACTTTGAAAGCTCCATCGTGCCCGAGCTGTTCGAGTCGTGTCGACAGAAGAACCTCCAAGTGGCCACTGCTCCTCCCCTAGTGCGCCCTTTTACTCCTGCCCTCAGGTGATGTTCGTTATTAATAAGATAGATGGCATCCCCTTCTACGAGAAGAAGAAACATCAGATTCGTCAGTGGGCCACCCGAATGAGTCGTCAGATCAAGAACGCTCACTGGTCGGATGTGGTCGGTGCCCCCTCTTTTCCCATGGCCCTCCAGGCCCCTCCCCAGGTTCTCGTATCTTCACTCAACGGTACGGGCTTTGCAGAATTGGAAGACCGGATGCGACAGTACCTCTCAGCCGATAAGCCCAGGTGCGTCTGAGTTGAGAAGATACTCTAATGTGGGCCTTTTAGGTGGATATACATCGTGGGAAGAGTGAACACGGGCAAGAGCACATTTGTTAACCGCTGGCTACGCCATATCGGTTACACCCATCTTGGGACCGTCAACTACAAGCGTGGCACGTGAGGCGGTCTCCTCCTCCTCTTCCTGTACACTCCACTGTAGCCTGCCTTAGAGGTGGCATCACGCGCTCGCCCGTCCCTGGCACCACAATGCAGTTTGTGACTTTCGGCCTGCCTCGAAAGTTCCGTCTGGTCGACAGTCCCGGCATCCCCTCCAAAGTTCAACTCAGTAGCTTCCTTGAGGACCCCAAGGACCTGTAACTCGCAATTTCCCACTGCTAAAACGAATAGCGTCCGTAGATACGATCTCTCGTTGTGTCGGCAGCACCCTGTGCGGCCCGTCACACATACGATCAAACCAGGGAGATCGCTCATCATTGGGGGCGGCCTGGCTAGGATAGACCATAAGGGTGCATCGACTCAGGGGATGTGATCCTGGAAGCAATGGGAAGTGCCTGCTAGCAGTAACTCCATCAGGCACGCCCAACCGGTGTTCCTTTCCTGCTTTGTGAGTAACAAGGTTACTCTACATGTAATTGACACGAAGAAAGCTGAAGACTTCCTCACTCGGAAAAAAGGTCGCTATAAGACTCGTGATGCGGTCGCCGTGGACGAGGAGCTCCCCTTAGGTACGTTCATGTACCCTCCTCATTCTGCTGATGCCAAATTGCCTCCTCTTACCAAACATAACGTCGAGTAAGCATTGTCTCCCCCTGAGGGCCGAATTCCGGGTGCTTGTCAGAGTGTACGCCCCGAATCCTCATACAGCGATGGATGACATTTCTATAGCAGGGCTAGGATGGATCACCGTGTACGGGTATGGTCACGAGGAGCTCACTGTATGGGTGCCTGAGGTGCTGTGTCGTCTTGTACCACTCCATCCGTAACGTGTGTCGATTCGTAGGGCGTTAAGGTGTTCCGCCGGCCTGCAATGCTGCCCTTTACCATCCGACAGAAAGGCGTGTCGGAGTTCCATCCTCGAGCTCGAGGAAGGGGACAGAAAGTTGCGAGCGAGAAATTCAAACAAGTTCATGACAAGTGGGCATCAGCCCGATGGTTTCCTCTACTGCTTTTTCTCTCAGGAATCTTCGTGAGAAGTGGCGCTCACAGACGGCAGCAAGAGAAGCTTCATTCGTTGGTTCAGTGGAGTCCGCTCCCTCAGAAGGCACTCCCTTCGTCGAGGAGCACTCAGACAGTGTTCGAACCGAAGCTACCGCAGAGTCGCATTCATGATCAAATACATCCCTCAATCACGTTTCTGATTGCTGTTTCCACCATCCGATCATTTTGTTTAGTGCCATAATATAGTGAAGCCATGTGGCGAGTCGAACATGCAAGAGTACAATCCCTCAAATCCGAGTCGCGTACAAACAGCAGATTTTCGTATAGTAGTATATGGTCGTACACTATCCTGATTATTATCCAGCATAGAGCTGCATTGACGTTGTGCACTGTCTACTAGCGGATCTAGGCGAGCTTAGCTTGTTGCTCACACGGTGAGCTGAGCCTAGGCCCGACAAGAGAACAACACTGTGCTGAGTATGGAAGTCATGTCAAGTGATTGGCTGCACACTACATTGCTAGAGCGGTCGCAATCTATGAAGCAAACCTTGTCGTTAGCTGTGCTGACTGCAGTCACCGCACACCACAGCACTTGGGTACTGTATTTAGTGAACTGTTCCAACGTAGGTTTCCACTCAGGAGGCAACCGATATACCACACGAATGAAGGAACGAGCTATGATGTGCTGCTTTCTTCGAGCCACGAAGCGTTTGGCGCAGCAACAACAGCTCGAACTTGCACAGCGACATGTCCAAACGAATTGACGGAATCTCCAACGTCGGCGACCTCTCATGAGGGCTTTGAGTCGTATGAGGATTTTGAGGAGTACTTAAGACCGACGAATGACTCTGACAGCGCAACTCGTGAGAAGGACGGAAAATGAATATTCAGCATATGGCCGGGCAATCGATCCGGCCAGAGCTACCCACCTGACTTTCGGATGGGATCGGGAAAAAGGCCACATCGTGGCAGTCGTCCTCGGCGAACAAAGTCTACGCTACCTGAGCGAGAGGGTGAATAGAAAATGGGAAAGCAGGGGATCTTACCTCAACGGCCGCAACAATACATATAAAATCCCTGAGGCGTCGGACAGCATCTGGTACAGTTCTTGGGACATAAGGAGTCCTCCAATACGATCTCCCGAGCCACAAGATCTTTGGGTGAAGGCTTATCTGTAAGACTTGAGCACTGCATGAAGCAGCATGCACTAAAGAGGATCTTGGCAAAGGAGCGCATTGAGAACGGGGGATTAACGCTGAATCGAATTCGTCGATCATGGAAGAATGCCCTCAGGAGCATGCAAGATGTATCATCTTATTTCTCGAACCAATCCTCAGTGCGAATAACTCGTCGCTATATATTCTATCGACCTCCCAGTTCGCATAGATGGTTCGTAGACTCTCCCAAAAAACTAGCGTCACGTCCCTCACGGACGGTCCTTGGCGTGACGGCTATCGGGCTGACCCTTCCTCACCGGCGTACCATCCTGAGTCGCTACACGTGGCCAACATCCTGCTCTAATACACTGTCAACACAGCAACTACCTACGGCCGACAGTCAGAGGTTCATACAAGGTGACCCCGGCTATGAACTTGATAGCCGGAGACCCAAGCTCGGTCTGTCGCAATGTGATGGGGTAGCGACACCAGCACAATCCGTCCTACTTCACAGAGCATACATTGTGGAGTCTTCTGCACATTCACAGTTTTGGAGAAAGCTCGTTAGTTTGGTCCCACAGCTCTCTAATTCTCATCTTTTGATACTTGAATCACCCAATCTAGTGCGGAGCTCAAAGTTCGGACTGCTTTCCCTGTGCGCGTGATTGTGCATGCGTGCGTCTAGTTAAGCTGTCTGCCGGTTCATTCAGCTGCAACAGCTCGTCGCTTACTGCGTCTGAAGCTCACAAGCCGTCCGTGACGGACGGTCCCTCCCTTCATAGCCCCAATCCTTGTTCACCACGGTGGTGATACCACCATTGACTTCATCATCTTGCTTTTCTCTTCGCCCGCCCTCCCGAGACGCGACACGTTCAATGATGGAAAGTCTCACTACAGGCTAACCTCAAGTCTAGCATGAGTGATTCGAGTCGGCGAGTGAGCTTGGCCACTCGTGGTCCCCGAATCGTGGGTGCTTCGATAGTCCGAGCAAATCCCGGGTAACTGGCGGATTTTTTTCAGTGGGCTAAGCGACGGGACAGACCCGCGTGTGGGGCGCGCTACTGCTATGTAAGGAGTCTCCACTCTCCGCTCAGCTCTTCGTAGATTCCGGCAACGCCTATAGCCTGATCGATACGTAGCATAACAGCTTAGAAGTAGATCTAAGTGCAGCACACACTTAACCTTACCTCGTCGCGTTGCTAGTATGGTTGGAACCCCAACACACTGGTACGGTATCAGCTGGTACGGTACCAGTTAATCGGGTACCTGTCCCGTGATCGGGACTTGAGTCCCGTACGTCACGCTGTGGAGCTTTTATACTTCTCCACCCCACATTTCGGAATAAGATTTCCGTCTGCCTTCCTTACTTTGAGTTCGTAGACTGGCACAGCAGGGAGCCGACTCTGTGGTCGATTACTGTTGCAACGCCGACGATCGCCGATCCTGCAGCCGCTCATTTTATTTTCCTTTTATTCTCCGGCCCAGGCTTGGGGACATATGTCCTATATTGACTGTCCTAGGCCGCGGCTCCTCGTCGTAGCTGTTCTTTCGAGGAGAGGTCTTCGAATCTTCTGTCTCGATTAGCTCATTCGGAAGGTCCTCGAGCCCAGCGGGCGCGGCGTTGGAGATTGAAAATTTCGGCGAGCTCTGTCGAATGTTTCGAGCTCCTTCAAGGGATTGTTCGAACTCTCAACTCCAAAGGGACAACTGCAGCTTTGAGTAGTTCATTGTTGAATGGCATCACCAAGACACAAAGGGGAAGACCTGGAAGATGGTCTCGAGATGTCTCCCGGTCATGGTCTGCACTTCCCGCTTCCTGAACGGTGAGCTCTGTCGCCACCCTATGCCTGCATTATTGTTGTCCGCTTTAGCGTGCCTTCGCTTGGATGGAGGGGAATCAACTTCACCGCTGGAGGACGCAAGATCCTGAAAGATTGCTCTGGAATCATTCATCCGGGAGAGTTCACAGCCGTCATGGGCCCGTCGGGCTCGGGTAAAACTACTCTGATGAACATCCTAAGTGGAAGACAGAACCCTTCGGGTCGCGGTCTGAAGGTCGACGGCACGGTGACTTTGGATGGGCGAATAACGGCGCCGTCGAAGTTCCGTGACAGCGTCGCGTATGTGATGCAAGAAGATGCATTGGTATCGACGAGCACCCCTCGAGAGGTACTCGAATTCGCTGCTACACTCAAGTTGGACAAAAGCAGACATGAGGTGAGGATATACAGATGATCTCAAGAAACGGTCTGATTGTCTTTGCCCCGTGTTCAGATCAAAACTATTGTCAACGATATGCTGGAGTATCTCCGTCTGAGTACTTGTCAGAATACGATGGTTGGCAATCAACTGACTCGAGGAATATCAGGCGGTGAGCGCAAGAGGACTTCTATTGGGATGGAGCTCATAACACAACCAAGTATGTTATTCCTGGACGAGCCTCTAACCGGTTTGGACTCTTATGCGGCGGTGACGACCTCGAGGGTTCTCAAAGGATTGGCTGAACACGGTGTAACGGTCCTTATGACAGTTCATCAACCTTCAAGCGAGGTCTTCGAGCTTTTCGACAGGGTCATGCTCATCAACGAGGGCGAGATAGTGTACCATGGCCCGAGGACCTCTCTCGAAGACTACTTCGTGAGTCATGCGGACTTGCGCTGTCCACCTCATTACAATCTCGGTGACTTCGCTCTTTACAAGCTCCAGACGCAGCCGCCTGAAGTCATAAGCCGTCTAGTCGACGCATACAAGGCTGGGATGGTCGATGCTGATGCGAAGTGCGTTACTGGAGATGGTACGAAGAATGGAGTCGTGAAAGCCACCATGAACACACCGTATCGTGCCGGCCTTCACAAGCAGTTCCATATGCTGGCAGCACGCGAGTTCAGAGCAATTGTAAGGGACCCAGGCGTATTCATCGTACGCTATATCGTCGTGCTGTGCACTAACCTCCTGTTGGCATTCATCTTTCATAACTCCGGTAGACCAGGATCAGAGCTGTTCTGGCTGACTAACATGCGACTCTTTCAGCCCTATTTCTCTGCTGTAGTGATCATGTGTCTGATGCAACTGTTCGGTCCAGCTCAAACAGCGATAATCCGTTACCCTGAGCAACGCATGGTCTTCTTGAGAGAGTACACCGGCGGCATGTATTCAGCAATCCCCTATGTCATATCGAAGAGTATGGTGGAACTGCCCTTAGCACTCTTCGAGTGCTTCCTCCAGATTGTAGTCTTCTACTGGATCGTAGGTCTTCAAGGCGACTTCATGTTCTGGTTGTTGCTCATCTGGCTACTTCATCTGGTATCCTCGTCCCTTGCTCAGCTAATGGGTGCTACAACTTCAGCTGTTAACAGAGCTATGCAGTTGATGCCCCTCCTGTTCATTCCCCAAATCGCCTTCTCAGGCCTTTTCATTAATCTTGAGAGGATCCCTGTATGGCTTCGCTGGGGACAGTACGTATCCTATCTCAAGTACGGCGTGAACCTTGGTTACTTCATTGAGTTTGGTTTTGATAAGCCGACTCTTGCTGGGATTAACTCGATATACGCCAATTTGGTCGGTCTTGATATGGGTATTCTCCTCGCCATGTTGATCATTTTTCGCATTTTCACAATAGTCGTGCTCAGGCGCAAAGCTCGCTTCGTTCATTAATACGTTCGCCGCAGCTTTGTGCTTGAGATTCTTATCATGGCATGCTATAGCTGCCAATGAGAACAATCCTCGTAACATTCATTGAAATATCTTCGAGTAACTATCATAAGTATGTCGGAACATATCCAACCTTAATTGCTCGTCCTTCAAAACGGACCAGCTTTTCTCCGGATGATCGTTCGTACATCGTGGCACAGAGGTATCATTTCATACTCCAGTTTTGGAGGAGACTCAGACGTTGTACTGGGGAGGAGTCAAATATCAGAGCCCATCACTGATGATAATATATCGTGAGAAATCATCCTAGATAGTCTGTCGCCGTTGGGGTCAATCTATTTTTTACGAAGCATATCTTTCAGGTGAAGCTTCTTTAGTCAATCATCATCTCACATTCACTGC